AATCTTTCATTGAAAACAAGTTATGACTATGAGACTACTATGAGAGCAATAAAGTTTAACCTTCTGCAACCCAAATGTTGTTACTAAACAAGAGTTTAAAAGAAAGTATTATAGAAAACTAATCAGAACCCACATGAAAAAATAAAGTGGATTCAAGAACAATTTTAAACCTCCTAAATTGACTCCTCTATATTTTTGCTAAAAAGAGTGAGAAGATATATTCAGATACACGACACATAATCACGCTCTATTAAAAAAGGACTTGAACTGGAGCTTATAATACTATGTAACAAATTTTGATAACAAAGTTTGCTGTTCCACAAATTTGGCGAGAGCCGACAAACCATTCTATTAACTGGTACTTCTGCATGGTAAACCCAAAAAATTGTTGTACCGGCAAAAATGACCCTCAGACCGCTCCGGACATATCTTCTTCCATCGCCCCAGTACCACACAGCCCGGATCTGTCTGTTCCGACTCATCCTAGGCGGCATTAGCCATCTTCAGGAGACAGCAGCAAGTCAGATAGCGAGGCAGATACTAAAGATAAGGACTTATATTCTGCAGATGAAGTTGGAGAAAGACGTACTTCTCTAACCAGAAAGACGCGAACAATTTAATTAGGGACCACGGGCTTACTAAATCTAATGCTGAGCTTCTGATACCCAGGCTTACACAGTGGAACTTGGTTAATGATAGCGTACAAATCACGGATCAGAGGAAGCGGCATCAAAGATTCTCTAACTTCTTCAGTCAGCGTGATGGGCTGTGCTTCTGCAACGATATTGCCGGTCTATTCCAGGCTATAGGTATTGCTTGTAATCCTATTGAGTGGCGCTTAATAATAGACAGTTCACAATGAAAATAACTACGCGTCTCTTACAATGGCCTACTCTGTGCATCTCAAAGAAGACTGCACCAGTGTCAAAATGTTGCTGAGTGCATTAAAGTATGAAAACTACGGATGGGAGGTCATTGGTAACTTTAAAATGTTATCATTCCTCATGGGTCTTCTAGGAAGTTTCACAAAATTTCTTTATTTCCTCTGTCTCTAGGACAGCCATGACACTAAGGCGCATTATCGCACAAAGGACTGGCCACAACCAACCGAGTTTTTTGTTATGAAGAGCAATGTGAAGTGCGAACGCTGATAAAATCTCATAAAGTGCTTATGCCACCGCTCCACATCAAGTTAGGCCCTATTAACAGGGTTGCCACCATTATTTAGGAACAAAATTCACTGATTTTCCCTGATTTTTTTGCCAAAATTTTGCTTTTTCCTCCCTGATTTTCCCTGATTTTTCGCTAAAATCTTGCTTTTTTCTCCCTAATTTATCCAGATTTTTTCCCTTGAATTTTGCTAATTTTCCCCTGATATTTCCAGCATTCAAATGCCCAAACTTAACATTTAAACTTCTCCAATAACCCCAGAGCATTTTTACCTCTAAAAAACAGATACTATTATCCCCAATGAGTAATGAACCAAACAACTTGCTTGAAAATTAAAATAAATAATCAAATACTTCAATCAACATATGAAATTTTTCTTTGAACCAGGGTATATTTAAGACGGATATGTTCAATAGGCATTGAAAACCTGTCAGACTTCTCGGGTACAAAATAATGAAATTCAAAAAAATGTAACGAATGTAATAAATTTCTAGTTGTATGTTTTACATACATCTTTTAATACTTTTTGCTTTTCTTTAAGTCTTAATATTTCTTGATCTAAAAGCATTATCACGCTATTTTCTTTTGCTTGGAGTTTTCTATTTTCCTTCTAATAGTTCTTATATTGTAATGAGGCACTACAAACAGCATTTATCATTTCATTGTTTATTTCTATTTTGTGAGCCTTCAATTTGTTTGACACCATAAAATCCTTGATAGAGCGACGAGATATAAGTGACATTCCTTTCAATTTTTCACTAAGCATATTACTGGTATTACTGAAACCTTATTCAATTGATGCTTGCCTATGATATAATAAAAAAATAAATATCAAAACTTTTGACAAAACCTTTATAAAACCTACACCAACTTTAATGATTTCAAAATAAAACTTGTTTAAACAATTTCCAGTGTGAAAATATTTGAATGCAAGTAAAATAGTAGATGAACTTTCGTCTAACAACTTTAAAAATTGTATGAAAGCTTGATCACATTCATTTGAAGTAATATGTGAGCACGAAAGAACTAAATGTAGTACAGATTTCATCTGATAAATAAAAATATCAGCTTTTTGTTTCGAAAGATTTGACACGGGACTGATGCAACCAGTTGCTTCCAGAAAAGAAATTCGATTTAAACATCTTTCAAATATTTTTTCCAGAATTCCAATGATAATGAGACATAATCTTTTATGAAACTGTTGATGACATCCTGAGATAATGCATCCTTTTTCCTCAATTCGATCATGTCATGTTCTGCAGCAAATCCAATTGTCATTAATTTTAATAGCAGAAAGTTTTCCTGCTTTGCAAAATCATATTTTTGAAGTTCAATCAAAAATATGATTTTCTTCAATCTTCAAAATCAAGTTTTTAAAGTAACAATGCTGCTAAGGACATCTTGTTTTATAATTAAACCCATTAAACTTTTAACAGTTGAGGACAAATCTTCAAAAAGAAAAGGAATCATTGGGGCATTGGTTTGATATCTCAGTAAGATTTTCTGCAACAAACTTGCAATGTAACCAAAAAACTTCAATTTAGTCAAAGTGAACTCATCTTTTATTCCTCCGAACCAGAGTTGCTAGTCCTTGTTCTTAACCATGGCCTTGCCTTAAGGCCAAAAATTGAGGCCTTGGCCTTGGCTTTGAAACTGTTGGCCTTGGTCTTGACCTTGAAAATTTTGGACTCGGCTTTTAAAAAAGCCAATTTTCTTACTGATTTTGCTTAATTCTGCCCATAACCTTGGTCTATTTTTACAAAATGTGGTTTTATTGTCACACCACTTGCTACTTACAGTTATGTTAATAATTGGCCTTAACGCAAGGCAAAAGTTAAAGTATTTGGTTTTGAAAATGTTTGCGTAGACGTTGCGTAGACTCTTAATCTTGGCCTTAAACTCTTGGCCTTGGGTTTGTTCTTGTCCTTGTAACCTTTGGTCTTGATCTTGGACTTGTAACGCGTGGTCTTGGTCTTGATACTTTTAGCCTTGTTAACAACTCTGCCCCGAACACTTGTCATAGCTCTTTCATTTTGGTTGCTTACTTTTAAAAAGAGTCTCCCAATACTTGGTTATTTTTATTAACATTCTCCCAAATTAAACAAAGTCTATCTGCAACTTTTTGGTCTACAACCCAGAGTGTTGAGCAAAATGCACAAGGAAAACTCTCACATTCAGTAATTGTTACATAATCAGCTCTTCTAGCCAAAGAATCATAAAAAAGGTTGTATGATGCTTTCATTAATTTCTTTATATTCCATTCAGCAGATTGAAAACCTGATTTGAAACCATGTATTAGATGAAGGTTACAGCTCCCAACATTAAGAAGTTTAGGTAGCTCTTGTTGATCATGCTGTATTTCAAGAAGATTAAGAAGGGACCAGTTCACATTTGTACCTTCCATACTTAGTTGAGTTATACTTTTAATTAAACTCTTTGCTGTGGGGTGACCTAAAAATTTAGAGTCAAAGTATCTGGATTCAACACGATTTAGATTGCTGTTCCAAAACTGAATATTTAGATCCGATTGGCTCTTTTTAAAAGAATCGTTCAGGCTTTCATCAAGTGAAAGATTATAATAAGGAGATTTTTTTATATTTTCAGTTAAAAGTCTGTAAAAATAAGGCCCATTACCAAAATTAATTATATATACAAGTTTTGTTTCACTCATTTCATAAGATTTAGCAATATTGCTATCAGGGAACATTTTCTGGTAAAGTAGGCAATTTTCATTATATGAGTTTAATGAGAAATTATTCTGTATTGCATTTAAAACAGAGTAGATTTCTGTACAACTTTTATCACATTAATCTACTGTTTGAAGTGCTTGCTTTATAGATGTAGACTGTGCAGGCAAGATACTGGCATTGACTTTTGTGCTTGTTTTTTGCCATCCATGTGACTTATCATAACTCTTCTGCATATTTGACAAACTAAATTTTTCATATTTTGCACTAGGCAGACTTTTTTACACTGCCTATTACCAGTCATTTTTCAAACAAAGGATCACTTAACCATTATTCTTTGAATTGAGTTGCAAATATTGAATTAATGTAAACACAATATGATTAATTTTCTTATTAAATGTTAAACATTAACCCTGGTACCCTTAAATTGTTAAATTGTTAAACATTAACCCTGGTACTGTTGAAAAGGAAGATTTTTATTAGAAAAAATATAAAAACATTAAAGAAAAATTAAAAAGTTCCCTCATTTTTTCCTAAATCAATCATTTCCCCCTGATTTTCCTTGATTGTATCTAAATTTCCCTGATTTTCCCTGATTTGGTGGCAACCCTGTATTAAACAATTTATCAATGCTCTTGACAAGGAGTCAGCTACATTTCAATACCTCCAGGACCTTTTTCCAAAGCTGCCCAAGGCTAAGGTCAGGGCTGGTATATTAATCCGACCACAGATCAAGAAGATCATAAAATGTGAGAATTATGCAAAGCTGTTGAACAGGACGGAGAGAGCGGCTTGGAGTAATTTTGTTGCAGTTCTTTTATTGGCTTCCTAAGCTGAAAACTATATGGAGTTGGTGCAGACTCTCATAAAGAATTACTCATAACTGGAAAGATTAGTTATGACATTAAAGTTTAGCAAAAGTCTTTTTAAGATTCGAATTAACAACTCTTCCCCCCTCCCCCTCCCCCCCTCCTTCTCCGTTTATTACGAATTCCAGGTTTGTTAAATCTCAGAAATATTTCCGACCCTCCACTTTATTATGACCCCCACCCCGTTTATTAGGCACCTAAGACATTGCAAAGTTTAATAAATATATTTTACTTTTATTTTAGTTTATATATGCTAACAATAAATACTAATGTATTATATTATTATATTAATAATTAAATGTCAATAAACACGTGACATAAATACATTCCAAAAGGCTTAATAAATATATATTTTATAGTTTATATACAGAAATATATCATTAAATACATAACACATAAATATGCCAGAAATAAACGCGTCAATAAATATGTACAAGCCACAACAGAAGTAGGGATTGAGTCAAGATGGCAAATCTACATATCCGAAAAATTTTCATTTCATTTTTTAAATATTTCTTTAATAAATATAATGATAATAATATATATATAATAATATATAATATATAATAAATATCGCTCTTGCTTGAAAATTCATTTTATAGGAAAATTGATTTTATCAACAAAATAGTTCAAGGCATGACGACATCTTGCACAAAGTTAGTTTTCTAAGAAAAAAAATATTTTCATAACATATAAAAGAAATCGTGTTCAACCCTCGGAATTAGGAAAAATGAGGTCGGCAAATTATAGGACCTCAATCTTTTTGAGGTCGGCAAAAATTATTTGATACAAAGGTTTGACCATAAAACATAGAAACGAGGTCAGCAATTTTTTGCCGACCTCAAACACTTTCAGGTCGGTAGTTAGGTCGGCATGGCCGAAAGCCGACCCTAATTCCGAGGGTTGCGTGTTCCAAGCAAAACTATTTTATTTTTTTCATAACTTTCACTTGCTTTACCTTTATTTAACGGGGCAAAACAAATTAAGCATATAATCAAAACCAAAAATATTGATGAATCTTTGCAAAAGCAAAACGGGGAATTCTGGAAAATTTTTTACCTTACCGATAAGACTAGTCGAATTTTGCTGTGTCAATGTTTAGTCAACTTATCAATATATAAACGAAAAAATGTTAAAATTAATTTAATATTTATTTACCGTTAAATTTAGTTTTCAGAAATACTCAGAGATGCGTCGTGCTCGGAGCATGTATAGGAAGAAGAGAAACATGATTAGTCAGATTTTTAGGTTTTTCTTCTAACATACTATGATTTTTATTTAGGAGCGGCCATGATTGTTCCAGAAACCGGGAAGAATGTTCTTTGGTTTTGTGATTGTTCAACGAATATGTACGATTTTGGCTATTACGAGATATCTCTATGCGCCTTTTAGAATTATATATCTTGAAGAGAAAAAAAAACGAAGTTATTTAAATACAAATAATATTAATAATACTGCTGATAATAATAACAATAATAATAATAATAAAAGTAATAATAAAAATAACAACAACAACAACAACAACAACAAAAATAATAACAATAATAACATTTAAATCAAAAAAAAGTTTCGTTATTTATTTAATGCTGCCGTTATTTTAAGTCTTTTTTTACTATATAAAAATCTTTCAATTTCTACCAAACATTTTATGCACTGCTATATAACAAACTGTTGGTGCAAGATATATCAAAATAAATTAGTCTAATTTCTAATAGTTTAAAAACTATTATAAAAACCTTATTTATAAAAAATGAGTTTAGTTAAAAAAAGAAAGAAAAAAAAAACGTTTATAACATTAGCAAAAAATAAAAAAATCAAATAGATGTCCATTAAACATTTTCAATATCACATGTATTATCATGGATTCTAGCATTTGTTCTAATTCCAAATTTAATTGATGCTAATTGCTTTTTTAGTAACATTAAAACTTATTGATTCTTTATTTATTATTTATGTACTTTTAGTTTCATATTTTAAAACCTACTAATCAGTGTTGATAAACGGCGTATATCTTCTCCCCTCCACTTTTCCTCCGCAGTAGACGGCTGCTGCCTCCCGATCAATTTTTAGCAGCAAAATGTTCTTTCTTATGTCTTTCTATTGGCGGCCGCAGCCAGAGTTCTTTTTTGGAGGCCGACCCCAATAGATAGGCGGAGGCCAATGATAGCCGCCTCCAGAAGAAATTTTGAAGGCAAAGCCATTTGGATTCTGCCTCCTAACAAACTGCGGCCGTCAAATTAAAGGCGGAAATATTTGTCTCGCGCCGGCGGATGTAATGAAAAATAATTGCTCGTTTGCTTTAAAGCAATTAAATATTAACTAGAAACAAATGTTAAATACTTGACATTAAGTTTTATTTTATAGGATTGTTTTTTTAAATACTCAAAAGTTTTGAGTATTTAAAAAAATTCTAATTTTTTTATAAACTAATAAATCAAGTAGAATAAATTAGTATTTTAATTATACAAAACAAAAGTTAAAAGTCGGAAAATTTTCTTCTAAGCAACTGGCGAATTTTTTGACAAAAAAAAAATTATAAGTAATTAAATTGACTGATTATGGTAAAAGTTTTTTAGAACAAGTCGAGATGCTAAAATTTTTAACTATTTTATCATTTACCATAACGTTAAATACTTAATTGGATATTGTAAAAGTTATTAAAAAAATTTCTGCGAATGTTTATTAAAAATTTACGACCACGCTGTGTTACGCTAATAGTTTATCCAACAACAAAAAAATAATAATTTATAAACCGACTCTAATAAAATTCATAAATTGACTTACAATATAAATATACTTTTAAAACGTTTAAAAATTTAAAATGTTTAAAAAAGGTAGAATTGAAAATTGAATTTACAAAGTTTTAAAATATTTAAATTGAGTTTAACAAATATTTTAATTGCTTCAGCGATGTACGTTTAAAACATTAAAATATCTGCAAGCGTTATTTGTATATTTGCGTGTTCGAATAATTTTTTGTTATTTGTATGCGCTTATTTGTACATAAATTATATATTTATTTAGGCTATTTCATCAAAAAATCCACTGTAATTTAACTTAGTAACTTTTAACATAAATTAGATTAATTTATTAACCACTAATTAAATGGGGGAAACAAGCCCTAAGATTTTTATATATTTTTTTATATTTATAAACGTAAATGAATTTGTTCACTCTGACAGTTTAAAAAACCTCTTTTTCTTTAACATAAGTTAATTTTTACGGTTTTAACAGAGCTTTTTATCTCTTGGCCCAGTTTGTCCCAAAATGGGAAAACGGGCCCTGAGTACTTTTACATATTTACCTAATATTTATAACTATAAATAAATTTATTTAGTCTGACAGTTTGAAAAAGCTCTTTTTTTTTAACTAAAATTAATTTTTATTGTTTTTACAGAGCTTAGATTGTTCTTGGCCCAATTGCCCTGAATGAGGGAAATATGCGCTAAAATTTTTAAATGTTTTTTTGATATTTATAAATGTAAATGAACTCTGACAGTTGGAAAAAGTTCTTCTTCTTTCTCTAAAGCTTTTACGGTTTTAGCAAAGTTTTTATAGCTTTGTTGTGTTTTTCAAATACTTTTATAATATATAATGACTAAAATTAACAATTTAATGTTATGGTCCAAAAAAAAAGTTTTAGCGTGACGTAAGGGCGACAAAATTTAATTATTTGTCATAAACTTTTTTTTTGACTTTTTTGCTTAAGGCATGTAAACAAAATTTTTAATTTTTAACATTTGTTTTGAAATAAAAACTACTAATTTATTTGATAATCCTAGAAAAACAACTGCTCTGACAAAATTATAATTTCTTTTTCAAAAATTTTTTTAAATTGTCAATAAATCATATAAAACAAAACTTTGATGTCAAGTATTTAAGATTTTTTTTTAGATAATATTTAATTGCTTTAAAGCAATTAAATATTATCTAAAATAATATTTAATTGCTTTAAAATAAATATTTTTCATTACATCCACCAGCGGGAGGCAAATATTTCTGCCTCCAATTTGACGGCCATAATTTGTTAGGAGACAAAAGCCATTGGAGGTGGCTTCCAAATGGCTTTGCCTCCAAAATTTCTTCTGAAAGCCTGAAGGTGGCTACCATTGACCTACGCCTTTCTATTGGCGTCGGCCTCCAAAAAAGAACTCTGGCTACGGCCGCCAATAGAAAAGCGGAAGCCACTAGAGGCAGAAGAAAGAACATTGCCCCTAAAAATTCATTGGGAGGCTGCCGCCAACAGCTGCCGCCTCCCTAAAAAGTCGAACTTTCAGCAAAAAGTTACTTTGCCGCCGGGCAGCATTATCAACTCTGCTACTATTTCAGTACAACATTTTGGAACTCTATGACAACAACGTATATACGGGTATACAATGATGAAGAACAACAAAAACAAATATGGAGGATACAATATACATACTTGAGGAACAAACTACTACAACATACTTGAGGATCAATTCTATAAAAACTTGAAGCAATATTTAATCGTATTAAAAAATAAGTTAACACGAGTTTTTCTAAATTGTTCAAATCAAATATTGTACGCTATTTCTTTCAATTTTAAAAAATATTTAAATTTTAAAATCTTAATCAAAGGTTTTCATTCTAAATTTTAATAGCAAAAGAAACCATTCCTTTAGTATGTTGTAATCATATGATCAATAAATTGCTTACAACTTTATTTGCTATAAAAAAATTTACGAAACATAGCAAATGGACTTTATTATTAAATAGAGCTAATATTAAATTTCTAATTATATTTAATTTTTTTGAGATTTATTATTATGATTATATTTAATTGATTTATTTTGCTTGAGATCTATTATCTCAATTAAAACTAATCAATTAAAATTAACCAAGTTCAAAAGATATCAAAAGATATCAAGCATGCATTACATATATAATATTAAAACATGCTTAATATTGCATTATTGCCTCGCCAACTGCTATGGGGTTATATATTAATATTTTAGAAATTAAAAATGAAAATCTCACTGAATGTTTTGGCCATTCATGCTGCTCTTCATTGTAAATAACATCATTTAAAACTTTTCTCTCAGGGGGTTTAGGCTGTTGACTATTAACTATAATGGATGGTCTTTGGTTTGATGGTCTTTTAAAAATATTTTCTTGGAAATCTGATGTCAGTTTGCTTTCGACAACCTGTAAAATTAATATCATATATATATATATATATATATATATATATATATATATATATATATACATACATACATACATACATACATACATACATACATACATACATAC